TCCGTCAGGTCAAAACGTTTTACGGTAGGAGATATGAAAAGTGATGCATATAGAAAGCCTGGCTGACGTTCTGTGAATCTTCCATATGGAAACTGTCCCGTTGTCAGCTGTTCCACAACACACCACGTTCGTCCAGCATCAGTTACTGACATATCTCTTGACGGACCTGAATGAGCTGTCTCCAAATGTTGCATCGCTCCAACTGTGCCTGACGGTTCAGTGGAATTCTTTAGACCTTAGGCCATTATTGATATCTCCATCCTGAAACTGTGCATTTCAGCCAGTGTCAAGGCAATGGGTACATGTTGTAGAAAAATAGGTCAGTGCATCATTGGTGACGTAATAACTAGAAAGTATTGAATAACTGATTGCATCCCTTATAACCAGCAACTGTTAACATCCGATCACATTCGACAATAATCAAATTTGAACTGAGTATATTAATCCCCAATATTATCAGATTAGTCAACGATCGATTGCTTGAATTTAACGATGAGATTGCACGGACAGTTTGAAGTCAGATGATTGCAGTGGCAATCTTCCCAAGCCGGCTTTTCCGCAATGGTAACCATATGCAGTCATTACATCATTGCTCCTTGCGCATATCGTAGATTTTTGCTTTTCTTTTATCTCGAGTAAATTGCCAATACTAAGAATGACCGCAAAGCAGATGGCTAAATTATATGCAGTGCTTTATGTTACTGCACCTTGCAGCCCATATCATTGACCTTTTGCGATTGGCGGCGAACGGGACCTACTCCAGGAGCAGTTTCCAGCGCGACCCTAGAGGATTGGCGGAGTTCCAAGGTGAATGAAGTAATGAATGGACGATCGGACAGAATAAGGAAAATTTTCAACCGTAGGGATGTCGATCTCAACTACTGTTTAAGTGTCTGGTACTCTGTGTGGTGCTCTTGACTTCATAAAGCTTATGGCTCTGTACTTGTATGCTAGGAGTGCCTCTTTAAAATCAGAATCCAAGACTGGGTGTCTTTAGTGACGTATTTGCTTCCTAGAGAATGGTACTCAATAAATACTTTAACGAGGAGTAAAACGAGTGACTCGACCATGATTGGACGAAAGCAGACAGAGTACGTACTCTGCCGAAATACATGTGTTCACTGATGGCTCGGTAACACTAAAACCGGGTGTAATAACTCTTCAACAGCTTAATGTGTCTATCGGTCGACAGTCGAGACGAGGCCTAAATTTATGCTACCGGAAGCAAGTTCGTCGTTTTTCTTCGAGAATTCTTCTTTTGACAGCGATCGTCATAGGAATCCGGTTTCTAGCGTAGGTGGACAGAAGGTCAGCCAGTCAGTCAGGTGAAATCGTTATTGCCTTCTTTTCCTCCTTCGAAAAGAAATAAAATATGCATGTCCAATATTGCCCAAGCGCTTCTGCACTTCTTGTCAACGCAAGTGGCTTTGGAGACAAGTCGCTGGCGCTCTGTGCGACAGATAATCTCTCAGGAGACTAATCTGGATTGTATTTACCAGGCTTGTGTATACAAGGGCGTTGATGTTTGTCGTATGACTCATCTTCAAGCCAGTCAAGTTATGTGTGAGTAGGCGTGTCATGTGTTAAAAATAATCGGATGTGCGTTTAGATCGAACGAGGTTCATAGAGGCTCATCGAACACAATAAGAGTGACTAAAGGGGGAACAGAGGCGGGTAAGGAGAGGAGACCCATTTATGCCCACGACCAGCGTGGGTAAGCTGAAAACGTGCGGCTGGTTATGAACGATAAACAGGAGGTCCGTACAGACATGTGCAGCTTCGATCCAGTTCCTAACGATGAAGAACGGAAGCAGTTACACGAACTTTGTGCATCGAACGAAGGTTGCCGACTCAGTGCTCGGCGCTTGGGCGCGCAGGCGATGCCGGCGCCGACGGCGCGCATATTTGCCATTATTTTTAGATAGCAGAATGCGACTGCTGACAGCCGTAGTGAAGCTCTTCAGCGTACCTCTTCGATGCCACCTATTCGAGGAGTGAGGCGACCAACAATGACTACGATCTTCCTCGGCGAAAACTGCTTTCTTCTACATCTTCTTGCCTTCCTCCTCCTCCTCCAGCAGCAGCGCCACCGTACGGCGGTGAAGTGTCGCTAGTCGTCAGCACCCGCACGGAGCTACAACCGGCATCACAGCCGCATCGTCGTCTTCTCTTCACTCGGCCAAAGATTATGTAACTTGTGCCGGTGCCGCTGCCAGCGACCGACCGTGTTGTTCAATAACTGAGGAACTACCTGTGCATCTGTCCGTCTGTGTTGTCCGTCGTAAGAACAAGTCGTCGACAATGTCCACCACGGAAACGGTGACCGTCCGCATGAGTCGCAGCGACCCGTCGACCATCTGGGGTTTCCGGTTGCACGGCGGCAAGGAGTTCAGCACGCCGCTGGTCATCAGCAAGGTGAGTGAGTGTGACCACCGACCGGCCGACTGACCGGCCGACCGGCGGTAGGACACGTTAAGTTTTCCTCGTGCAAGTTGCAGCTGCTTGTTTTCGATCGCTGATTGACTGACCACCTGTAACACCGTAGGTGACTGAACGCAGCCTGTCCGAACGAGCCGGCCTGAAGGAAGGCGACCAAGTGGTGAGCATCTCCGGTCGCAGTGCCGCGTCCATGTTCCACAAGGAAGCGCAGGAAGCGATCTTCGCGTGCGGGGACAACGTCGAATTGGTCGTTCAGAGGTACTGACCAGTCGATCTCTCTTTTACTTTCGCTTCACAGTGGTTTGTCGTCGTTGTTGGCCCCCTCCCCCCACC